TGTCCAAATGAAAGTATGTTTTTTCAATCTTAATCCTATTTATAATGGTTTTTATTCCAGGTGTTTAATTTTTAAGAACCCTACTCAGGAGAGGATATTGATGATGTAAGTAGATATTGGTCCCAATATTTTCTCGATATCTCATCATTATTAGTGTGGTCGGAGACTGTGGATTATTTTCTTTATTTCGACACACTTGGTAGCATGACTTAGTATGTTGTGTGGGCCGAACTATTTTTGACTTGGTATTGTTGTTCGTTTGTGAAGGTGAACTGTATTGTTGGCATTGTTGTCCGTTTATGAAGTTGAACTATATTGTTGAATGTTGACATTGAACTGAAGTTGGTAAATAATTGGTTTTGTATTTGTTGTTGGTATTGATGGTTTTGTTAGTAATATAAATCTTTAAAATACATGTGTAATAAAAAATAAATAAAAATTGAAATTTTGCAACACCTTTTATAATGGGTGTTTTGAACGATATATATAGAAAGTTTTTTTTTATTCAAATTTGACTTTTTATAACGGGTGTCCAACTACCTAAAGTTCACTTCAAGAACGGGTACACGATACACCTATTCTCTAAAATTCACTTTCAAGAGCGGGTACACAATACACCCATTCTCTAAAATTCACATTCGATATTGGGTGAATCATACAACCGTTCTTTGAAGTTCACTTTAGAGAACAGGTGTTCTAGAAAGTTCATACTTACTAGAAAGTTCATACTTACTAGAACACCTGGAACTAGAACGGGCATAGACCCATTCATAAAAGTCAATTTACCCGTTCTTGAAAGTGTTTTTTCCACTAGTGGTGTGTTTGTGTGTTTGTTAACTTTGCCAACTCAGTATGCATTTAATGTTAGGCGGATTTTATGTTCAGATATTTTTAATAAATATACATATATATATATATATATATATGTGTGTGTGTGTGTGTGTAACATGTAAAATAAAATAAAAAATAAAAATAAATCTTTATTTCATATCGATTAAGTCATTATTATCATGTGTGACATAAAAATTGAATAAAACTTCTACACTATATGCAACCAAAGTAACAATATAATGAATAAAGTGAAAATATCTATTTCTATACTTAAAATATAAATGTACTATATTTTTCACTCATGCCTATTTAAAAATTATGTTTTTCACAATGCAAGGTGCGATCATTACGTGATCGATCGTGTATATATATGGTCATTTTGCGATCATATTTTGCGACCACTGTGAGAACATGCATATAATGTGGTTATTGTGCGAATTTTTTTTTTTTTCGGCACAATTTTAGGTCAAAATGAGGTGTTTTGAATATGTTGTGTATAAAAGAAGTATAACTCACTTTTTGGCTGAAAAAGATATTTGCTCATTAATTAAATTTAACAATTTGCAAAGTTCGTAGACCATGAATGAGAAACTTAGTTATTCTTACTTCATTGATTATTAATTTAAATATAATAATAATAATAATGAAATCTCGACCCGACTATTAAATGGATATTAATTTAATGTTGAAGATTGACTTTTGCAGTGATGAATCACATTTCAAATGATTCTTTTGGTAGGAGACAAAATGTTAAAAACTCTGAAAAGTGCTACTCTTTGCAGGGGAATATTTCGTTGAGATTGACGAATGAGCAAGTTTGTTTTCTTGAAAGACTTTGACACTTAAAGAAATAAGTTTAAAAAGCTCTAGGAAGATCTCACAGAATGAACTAAGTTACTGTACACAGACTTCTCAAGGTTCATGGTACTTTGAATTATTCAATGGCATCGGGCCAACTCGGACACAATATAAAATGGTACATTCTAAAGAAGCCCACGTTGGTTTATCCAAAGGTAAATTGGCAAAATTGCATTTTATGCCCTGTAACTAGGGGTGTGTGGCAAATGTGGACAACTTCTTTTTGGTTTGGCAAAAATGCCCTGAAATTTGTTAAAAACCGAAATCCGTGCCCAATTTGGGCACAAATTTCGAATTTTAACAAGTTACTGTCCTGTTTTGCCACATGAAAAACCCGATCAAATCCAGTAACTTGTAGGTAAATTGGGCACAAATTCCGGGTATTAACAAGTTTCAGGGCACTTTTGCCAAACCAGAAAGAAGCTGTCCACATTTGCCACACAGGCATAATTACAGGACACAAAATGCAATTTTGTCAAGGTAAATTTAGTTTTAAAATAGTTTTATTTTGTAACTAGCAATATCATCATTAGATTTATCACATTTTCGATAATTTTTAATTTTATGCTCAAGGTGATTATTAATTAGTTGATTGAATGTAAAAGGTATTATTATTATTGTTATTATTATTATTTTGATTATTATTATTATTGTGCAAATTTATTAGGTGTATGTGTCTACATTGCAAAAAAAAGAAGTTTTTTTTTTTCCGTAATTGCGGTCAGTAATAGGTGGATTTTTCAAATTTTGTTTAAGATGATTATTATTTATTTTTATATTCAAGAGTTCTGTTGATTTGGGACGCTTTGGTGACATATGCATCCACGTAGGATAAATCGGGGTGAGTCATAAACAATCGACGAATTCGGTAACTTGTAGGTAAAATGAGCATAAATTCCATGTGTTACCAAGTTATTGCCCACATTTGCCTACAAAAAAGAAGGTGTTCACATTTACCACGCGACACAAATTATAAAGTATAAATTGCAATTTTGCCTAACAATAATAAATTGCATATATGATTTTCCCTCATCATTTTGCACAATTGATGATTAAAATAGTCATAAAAAATGATAAGCCAATATATTACCACACTATAAATATAAAAATATGAAATTAGTGTAAAAATTTATAATATTTTCCCCTCAAAACAATATATACCCCCAACACGCACATATCTTGACTTGAAAGCAAGCACATACACACACACACACCCACACCCGTAATGATATATTCTCAATCTTGGAAGGCACCCAAATACACCTACATCCCTCGGTTGCCATCATCATTTTCTCACTCGCTAAAGCCAATTTCTCAAAGTGAAACCAAATTAATTACTCGTCATCTTGAATAATCCCCAATCCGCAAGTCGTCGTCAAAACTACACAAACCCATGACAAAACAATCTCCAAACCACCACACCAAATTCCTCCTCCTCCTCTTCTTGCTACTAACAATTGCACGCGGTGCCCGCTGCAGCCCGCCGGACGACCCCATAACCTGCACGGGGGGCCTCGACAAGACCTACGACTGCACCATCACCAACTCGTACGGCGCTTTCCCTGACCGCGCCACGTGCCGCTTCGCCAAGGTCGCGTACCCCACCTCCGAGGCCGACGTCATATGGGCGGTGGGGAACGCAACTAAATCGGGCACCAAGATGAAAGTCGGGACCCGATACTCGCACAGCATCCCCAAACTCGTCTGCCCGGACGGGCAAGACGGGATGGTGATAAGCACCAAGTACCTCGACCGGGTGCTGAAAGTGGACGTGGAGGAGATGAGTATGACGGTCGAGAGTGGGGCCACGCTGAGGAGGGTGATCGATGAGGCTGCTCGGTTTGGGATGGCCCTGCCGTACGCCCCTTACTGGTGGGGGCTGACGGTTGGGGGGATGCTGGGGACGGGGGCACACGGGAGCTCGCTGTGGGGGCTCGGGAGCCAAGTCCACGACTACGTGACGGGAATGAGGATAGTTTCTCCGAGTGGGGTCCGCACGCTAAAGGCCACGGATCCGGGACTCGATGCGGCACGGGTCTCTCTTGGGGTGCTCGGGGTTATTACTCAGGTTAAGTAAACCTAATTTCCAAAGGAAAGGCGTACGTGGTGTATATATAATATAGGAGAAGACTACAGTCTCTCTGTTGGTGTTTTTTAACTGTAAATTATCTACACATCATGGATCTACACGTATATCTATGGTTAAAAACACCAATGGAACCATACTCATATAACAGGACTGTATATATATGTCTGTATTACCTTGAGAATTTAATAATGCGGCTTGCTGCAGGTGACACTTAAACTGCAGCCGTTGTTCAAACGCTCGGTGACGTACGTGACCAAGAATGACTCGGGGCTTGGAGATGATGTTGTGGGTTTTGGGAGGGAGCACGAGTTTGCGGACTTCGTGTGGACCCCAAGTCAAATGAAAGTATCCTACAGAATTGATGATCGTGTTGCAGTTAACGAATCGGGGGATGGGCTAAATGATTTTCCTGGATTCAGATCTACCTCATCGCTTATTCTCTCAACATTGAGAGCAAGCGGTACATGCATATATATAATTAATCTGCCTATATATTATCCGTGGTTTTATTTTTTATTTTTTATTTTTTATTTTATTTTAAGTTTGCACTCACTTCTAAGTTCTGACATCTGTTACGGAAACAAAATTCTATTTACCTTGGACTACTAAAGTTACTTTAAATTTCACAACTTATGCTAGTTATAGTCTGTGTATAAACATAGTGGGAAATGGACAAGGAAACAGAATAAAAATCTAATACAATGTTTTGTTAGCTACTTTACACGTATCGTACGTGCTGATTGATTTCCAGTATATGAATGAACTAATTATAAGGGCTGTAAAACTGCTATTTTGGCAACAGAGGAGACGCAAGAGTCCCTGGGCGATGCAAATGGAAAATGCATAAATGGAATATTCACAACGTCTGCCTTAAGGACTACCGCTTTTGGACTAACAAACAATGGTATACGTAATTTCATCTTCAATTTCTCTCTCTCTCTCTATAGATCTAATTAACATCAATTATACAATTAATTATTATTGTGTCTACAATGCCAACTTTTTGTAGTAGTTTTAAGAATTAAAATCTAACTTTATGAGAACCGTGTTTTACTTAAAAAGTGTAATATTGGGTCTCATTTACAAACATAGCTTTTCATAATTGTTGGGACATATATAAGCTTTTTACATAAATAGAAATATAATTAAAGATTGTGAATATTTTTTTTTTTTTTCAACAAAGATATATAGCAAAAAAAAAGAGAAATATAAGAGAAATTAGATAGTAATGTGTGGATGATACACAAATTAATAAAAAAAAATTTTGAATTTGTGATAGTTAATGAAAATATTAATAACTTATATGGCCTTTTACAAAGCATTTATTTTTCAACATATGTATATATATTTACATTAAAATGTCATACTTTTTAAGTATCATCATGACTTTTTATAAGATAAGTATGCAATATTTTCCACAAGAAAGTATGGGTGCCTAATAATTAGTCAGCCTAAGATTAGCATTTGTGTTTACAAAGTTGAGTTTGTAAATTTAGTGGTATACCCAAACATACTAGTACAGAGCCCGTGCGATGCACGGGGTGCACAATTTTAAGGTTATTTATTCAGGCTTATAATTATATACATGAATAAAGAAAAATATACGGGATATGCATAGTACGTGATCCGTGCGAAACACGAGATATATTTATTTGGAGAATATTATATTATAAGATGCAATATTCAATAAAAGTTTATAATACGCAAGAAATTGTACAATGTTCAATAAAAGTTTTATAATATTCAAGTGGAGTCTTAAAGTCTCTTGTACATTAAGACTACTCACAAAATAATATTTTAATCAATGAGTTTCCTTTCCTTGTAGCCAAATTGTGAATGTGATTTGAGGAGTACAACAAATCGATATATAGCTGACTTGCTTTTTCAATTGAATTTTTTTTTCTTTTTTCTTTTATAATGAATTTAAAGATATTCTAAAATATAGCAAAAAAATTTTTTTTTTATTACAATTAGAAATTTTACTAAATATAAACTCTCAACCTATGGTGTTAATCAACGTTTAAGTCTAAAAAATTAGGAATTTTTATCTCTTTTAATCAACGTTTAAGTCTAAAAAACAATAGAGTTATTATAAGTTTTTTTTTCTACATCTTTTAAACATTAAATATGAGCATGTTAGGGCTAACTTGTAAAATAATTAATATATTATCTCACTAAAATATTTATACTAATAAAAATTTAATTTTAGCATATAAATTTATCCCTTGATATAAGAGAAAGTAACAGTTTTACTTATTGTTGTTCACCATATAATATTTAATTATTATTTTATTATATAATAAAAAAAGAATATTGTTAAATAGTGTAGTAGAATTGTTATAAAATTATATGAATTTTTTTTTTACAATATGGATTTAATATTTTTTTTTATGATTTGATAATATAAACAAATCTATACTTAACTTTGACAAATAAAACAAATAAATACTTTAGTAAGTATTTAATGTACATAATAAATAGGAATGTATTTGGTATAATCAAATACCAAATATAATCAAATAAGTCAAAGTGTACATTTTTATTTGGTATTTGATTTTTTTATTATTAAAATCTTTTTATTATACTTACCTTTTTAAAATAAAACAAATAAATAAATCAATTAAATAAATAAAATATTATAATACCAAAATAGTAATGACATTTAATGCAGTTGACTTTTCTGGATATTAAATGTAGTAAATAAAATATCATTTTATATACTCCCTCCATTTTGAAATATAAGGCATTTAAGGTTATTGCACAAATATTAAGGAGACATTAATTAATGAATAAATTGACTAAATTAGCCTTATTTACTCTAATCACAACCACTCCACACTTCCTTAATTTCAACACAATGAGGGTATATTTGGAAAAAAATGCAAAAATTTGTCTTGATTTTTGAGCGCGCCTTATATTTAAAAAAAAATAAAAAATCTTTATACGCCTTATATTTCAAAATGGAGGGAGTAGTATAATACGGAAATAGTAATGCAATAAATGCTGTCGACTTTTTTGGCTACTTAATTTGGTAAATAGTACCCCCTTTAATATAAGTATAGATGCTTTATTTGGTGTCCAAAAATATATTTAATTATTTATTTTACAATAACCATCTCTAGGCATTTTGTTCACGGGCTACCCGGTGATCGGGTACCAAAACCGCATCCAGGCATCTGGCACGTGCCTTGACAGCCCTCAGGATGCGGACCTCACTGCGTGCCCGTGGGACCCGCGCATCAAAGGCCTATTCTTCCACCAAACCACCTTCAGCATCGCCCTTCCCAAAGCCAAGCCCTTCATCCAAGACATCCGCACGCTCGTGAAGCTCGAGCCTAAGTCCCTCTGTGGGCTGGACCTCAACAATGGCATCCTCATGAGGTATGTAACGGCCTCCTCCGCCTATCTGGGAAAACAAGAGGACTCCATCGACTTTGACCTCACGTACTACAGGGCAAGGGACCCGATGAGCCCGAGGTTGTTTGAAGACATCCTGGAGGAAATCGAACAGATGGCCGTCTTTAAATACGGTGCATTGCCTCATTGGGGCAAAAATAGAAATGTGGCTTTTGTAGGGGCAATTAATAAGTATAGAAATGCGGACAAGTTTCTTAAGGTGAAAGCGGAGTATGACCCATTGGGTTTGTTTTCGAGCGAGTGGACTGATCAAGTTCTCGGGTTAAAGGAGGGTCTGAGTGTAGAAAGAGAGGGGTGCGCATTGGAAGGCTTGTGTGTGTGCTCACAGGATATTCACTGTGCCCCAAGTAAGGGCTATTTTTGTAGAGCGGGCAAGGTTTATGGAAAAGCAAGAGTTTGTTCTAAAGTTAAAGGCATCATTTCTTAAGGGAGGTTGTCGTGTACTTGTGCTGCTTACTCTGAAATACTTTTTCACTCTCACTTTTCAGAATTTTATACACAAAATAATGTACTTCTTGTCAAGTTCAGTTATAGGACACATTATTTTGGTACAGTTCTGGTTTCATAAAATGACTGTTATATTTTGGTTAAAATTAAATTAAATGGTAATATGCGTTACATGTTACATATTACATCGAGGTGTAAGATGAAGTTTCACAAATTAAGTTGAAACTTATTGGTTTAATTAGTTTTGATTAATTAAGTTTCATCTCAAGTTTAATGGTTTTCCATTAAATAAAATGAATTGTGAAAATAAGTTCTCATACATTTGTAACCACATGGCAAATGACATCTATATATACTTTTATTCTTTGTAAAATCTTGTGAAGAAAAGTGAGAAGACTTGATCAATCTCAAAACTCATTTCTATTTTATGTGTTCCCTAAAGATTTCTTAGAGAATGAGGAAATAAAGTTTTTGGACAAAGTTCCAAAGAACTTATTTGAGCCTTGTATGTGTTCTTGAGAGAATTTTTTTGTTAGCCTTCTAATATATTTTTAATTAGAAGTCGTTGGACCGCTAGAACCAGTACCGGTTCTACGGTTTTACTGGTTTACGAACAGCCCGAACTATTTTTAACCGGTTTTGGTGTCAAGCGGTTTAACACCTCAGAGGTTTTGGTGCCACGCGATGTAACACCTCAGACCGGACCGCTGTAGAGACTAGTTCCCGGTTGAACCATTTGGACCGTCCAGTCCAATCCGACTTTAAAAACCATGACAAATGCTTGACTAGTTGCAAAATTTTGCATATAGTGTAAACATTAGACAAAATACTGACATTGACATGTTAAAGTTGATTGAATTATAATATCTAATCTGGTAAAGTGAATGAGGCCTGTAGAGAAATACCAAATAGAATGGTGGTCAACGGAACAAAACAAATGATGCATGAAGAGGCCGAAAAGACAATACTATCCCATATTAGCCAAAAAATTACGAAAGTGCACCGACGAAGCTGAACGGCAAAATGCAGAGATTTATTAGGGCCAGATTTTCCTTTTTCTGTAAAACGAAAGGGTTGAAAAAGGAGGAGCCCCCTTCTCTCTCTCTCATTCTTTCGGATTAGATCTCACCGTCGATAGATAAAGGCGAAATCGAAAAAAATAATTTTGAGAAGTTCTGCGGTATGCAAAGTCCTTACTCAAATCTCCTCCTACTTTTTCTACCTCTCTACTTCATCTGCTGCTGTTATAATCTCAGTTACATATATCACATACACACGCTCATATATATACATACACACATACACACCCGGGCCTTAAAACCTTTGAATCACTATAACCCCAGTGTTTTGCGTTCGCCCCGTCAAAAGGGCTTTTCTTGTTTTACCCTAGTTGCATTTGGTATACTTAAATTTGCGATGTGGAGTATGCTTCGACTGCTGGAACGAGGAGTTTTTATTCATTTCGATTCAAGGCTAGTCGGGTTCGTATGATTAAGGAATAATTGTTTTTTTAAGATGAGGATATATGATTTGGTTATCCTCTTTGCTTTTTTTTTTNGTTTTAATTTTTTCGGTACTGTGTTAACTGTTGGATTGGTTGATTTGAGCTGGTCTAGTGGCCAGTTTTAGCTGGTACTGCTTTATCTCGATCGCATTAAACTTGTTCTCCTATGGGGTGTGTGTATCCGGGTAGTTTGAAAGGTTTTGGTTTTTTCAGTTCTTTGCCAGCTATTTTCTTCATTCATGTATTAGTACATAGTTATGTCTTTTATGTTATTTGCTAGCTTCTGATGTTACGAGTAAAAAGTATTTCTTCTTTTCACTGGTGATCTAGAAAAGGTTGGGGAAGGTATTTTGTCTGGAAATGAAGTCTGCTCATTTTTCCTTTTGAATACAAGGAAGAAGGAAATTTGTATGGGTTTCCACTGTCTTCTGGTATTGGTTGTGTTTGAAGAATTATCTTCTGGCATTTTACTCCTGAGTCTCCTTTTGCAGTGAATATTGCTCTTTTTCTCCCTATGCAGAAAATTCGCTACTAGTAGGACCAGGGAAAAGAACACAAAACCTTTTTCTCTATACCCATTAGTCCATAAATATTTTTGTAGACTCCGGAAGCACATGAAAAATTTATCCCATATTAACCAAGAACATCGAAATAAAAGTCCTATGTCCTGAAATGTCTCATATATAAGAACCAAAACGATGGTAAATGCCTTTCTGCTATATCCATGCCATCTGCAGATGGTTTACACATTTTGCCCGTTGCCATAATGACAATCTAAGCATGCAGATTCCATTGGTGGACCAAAGGCCTCAAAATCTTGTTTGTTGTGTGATGATAGTTAGAAGGGTATCATGGCAGAGAACACTGAGATTGATGACCGTGTGGATCTTGATGATGATAATTACTCTGAAGAAGATGAGGATGTTGAAGAACCTATGGAGGATGAAGGACCTGGAGACGAAGGTGAAGAAAATGAAGAAGAACCTCTGGAGGAAGCTAGAAGTGAGGATGGTGTGGAAAAACAATCACCACACACGGAAGAAAATGATATTCATTCACCAGATGTGGTAGATGAAGAAAAGTTTGCACCTATTAACGAAGAAGAGAGAGCAAAACATGCTGAACTTCTCGCTCTTCCTCCACATGGTTCTGAAATTTTCATTGGAGGACTTTCTCGAGATGTTTCGGAGGAAGACTTGAAAGAACTTTGTGAACCCTTTGGTGAAATTTTCGAGGTTCGTGTTAATTTAGGAAGAAAAATATATTTATATATGTGCAAGTGACACATAATTTATCATGAAATTTGTTTCCATATATTACTCATTGCTTCATCAAATGGCAGATTAGAGTCATGAAAAACAGGGATACCGGTGAAAGCAAGGGCTTTGCTTTTGTAGCTTTCAGAACAAAAGATGTGGCACAAAAGGCAATTGAAGATTTACATAACAAAGAATTCAAGGTGATTTAAACCCTTCCTTCAAGAAAGCAACCATATTAGTGTTTGTAGCGTAAAGCCCTTGTGCATTTTCGTGTTTTACCACAAGGTTTAGTTCACACTTTTTTCTGCTATTTCATTGGTTATGTCATTCTTGATTGCAGGGAAGAACATTACGATGTTCGCTGTCGGAAACTAAGTACAGATTGTTCATAGGTAACATACCTAAGGTTTGGACTGATGAGGATTTCAGAAAAATCATTGAAGCAACTGGTCCTGGTGCAGAAGTAATAGAGCTTATAAAGGTCTTCTTCCGTGCTACTTTTGCTGCTGAAAGTAAACAATTTTATTTTCCATTCATGCCCTTATTTCCTTGACTGTAGGATCCCCAAAACCCAACCCGTAATCGTGGCTTTGCCTTTGTGGAATACTACAACAATGCTTGTGCTGATTATTCTCGACAGAAAATGTCTTCCCCAAGCTTCAAGTTGGATGGGAACACACCTACTGTTACTTGGGCCGATCCAAAGATTACTAGTGATAACTCTGCTGCTGCGCAGGTATAATGTTAAAAGTGGATGTTCTCATAGTGTCATTATCTTTAATCTTAAGTTTTGGTGTTTTTGTGATAATGAATAGTCTGAAGGTAGTTTTAGTACCATGATTCATTGAAATGCTGGGTCTTAATACGAAGAATGGTTGAGATGTCACCAGTTCCTTTCTTTGTGAAACTTATCCGTCAACACCTCATTACTTGTTACTAGTAAGCAGGAAAATTTTCTTGACAAAGTTACTTGTTTCCATCAGTTCAAGTTGTTGTCTCAAAGTTTAATTTTTGTGTTGGCTCTTGGTAACTGCAAATAGCTAGTTTTAAGTGCCATGAGTTTTGTCTCGGAATTGGTTCAGGTAAGGCTGTGAGAGTTATAATGATGCTCCAGCTCATGGTAAAATAAGGCTACTGTGAACTTGGAATCAGATGAGGAATGTATGTAGTGGCTTGGTGCACCTATTGGTGCACAAGATTCACAATGGATGTTTTCCTTTTGTGGAATTAGGCACTATTACTGTAGATGACTTCTACTTATGAAAAAGTATATTATGAACACCATTGATATAGAGAGAGATGTTTATCCCAGAATTTTCTATGAGTATTCACATGGGTCCTCCTGTTACTTTAGCTTGTATGCATCCACTTTTGTGTATTTTAGCCATAAGGTCAGTTCGTGGAACTTTATTGACGTAGGAATTATTTTAATTTGATGCCAAATCAGTTGTCTATGTGCAATTCAGCTCACTCTTTTGTTTATATCATTATTTCTTTTTTTCAGTTAACCCGTTCAATCCCCATGATTTCACACATTTCTTTTGATTTCTGCATGAGCTTCTGAAATGTCCTTATTTCCTTCTAGTTTGTTTGATGTTAGTGTATGCACCGTTATATTTGTTTGGCATACGATTTCAGTTGCTATGCTGTCATAATAATACACTCAAATCTTCCATTTCAATGTATTTTTATCCAGGTCAAGGCTCTTTATGTGAAGAATATACCAGAAAACACATCAATTGAACAGCTGAAGGAACTATTCCAGCAGCATGGGGAAGTCACAAAAGTTGTTATGCCGCCTGCCAAAAGTGGTGGAAAGCGAGACTTTGGTTTTGTTCACTATGCTGAAAGATTGAGTGCATTGAAGGCCGTCAAGGAGACTGAAAAATATGAGATAAATGGTTTGTTCCTTTTTATTTCATAATCTAGTGTATGTTGGCTCAATCATTTCTAGTTAATACTCCAAATCACATGCTTCATTAGCATTGCTAAAAACATGTCAAATTCATTGTCTAATACCGTAACCTTTCTTAGACTCTTGATAATTCTAAACTCGGGTCCATTTAATAATTGGACACAAGTAATTAGATTTCCTTCTAATAGATGATGAATGTTATTAGTTAAGAAAATAACTGAGAACAACTCAGGACGAATCCCACCTAGGGCTGATACTTAGGGAAGAAACTTCCAACCTAAGCTAAAAGCCGACAATCCTATTCAACCCAAGAGATAACTGTGATAACTTAACATCTACATAAAGAGATGCTACCCTATATGTAACCCTAATTGTATTCCAACTCTATGGGCCTAAAGCCCAATTGTTGAATATATAAAATAGAAATTGATCTCAAACACCTTCTGCTGGTTGCATGTTTATGAGGATATGGGCCATATCAGGCCATCTGGGGTGTGTTAGGCAATTCATATTCTTCTGAAACACAGGCCAGCTGTTAGAAGTTGTCCTGGCAAAGCCGCAGACTGAGAAAAGGTTTGATGCAGCTAGTCCACTAAATCCTCAAATGCCAAACTATATTCCTCATCCAGGATATGCCGGTATACCAGTAAGTCCTTTTGCGCCTATGGCTGCTGGATATAGTGCAGCTGCTGGATTTCAGCAGGTACTTGCACCTTTCTTTACTTTACTTTATTTCTTTTCAATATCTTGTTTTTGGTGTTTTCTTTTTTATATTATTTATTCCCACGGCATGTACTTTTCTAATGCAATGGAATGTTTCATCAGCCTATGATTTATGGAAGGGGGCCAATGCCATCTGGAATGCAAATGGTGCCGATGGTTTTACCAGATGGTCGAATTGGTTATGTTCTGTAAGTCTCCTCATACATATAGTTTACGGCATTTCCCAGATTTAAAAAGAAATGTTATATTGTCTGACAATGTTTTTTTTTATTATGAAAAAAAAAAACAGTCAGCAGCCTGGGGTACAGATGGCTCCACCTGTCAGGCCTCGTAGGAATGACAGAAGCAATGGTGGTGGGGGCCCACAAGGACGTGGGGGCCCAAGCAGTACTGGGGATGATAGTAGTAACCGTAATAGACNTTTTGGGATGTGAGATGTAATGCTAAATTTATGAATGTCGATGCGTAATCGTTTGAAGTTTGAACATCTCTCTCTCTCTAAACTTGGAAGTGTGATGATTCAAGGTTTTAAAAGTGATTCAATGTTTTAAAAGGTGCTACGGGCTCGCGTCGAGGTGACGGGCCTGAGTGGGATTGTGAAAATATAGTAAAAGATATTTATCTATATTTATATTTATCAATCGTACATAATATGCAAATTACATTTATCTATATTTGTCTATCTATCAATCTATCTATATCTATTTATCTTTGTCACCTATATTTATCTATCTATATTATTATAAAATGACGAGTGATTTTGTAAAAATACGAATTGCCTAGAAAATTCTTATTTTAACATATTTTAATGGTAAATTAGTAAAACAGTAATACCCATCTTATATTATATTTTTAATTAACAAATGAACTATTTAAGAAAATTTTACTTCGACTTATTTTTAATGTCAAATTAGTAATACACTAATATTCATCATATCTATTTTATATTTTTAATTAATAACTAATACTTAATTAAATGAATATAGATAGACGAACAAAACAATCCAGATCTCCTAAAAATCAACATCAATATTCTCATACCGTTAATCTTCACGAATTTGCTAATTGTGCAATAGTATGAGAGATTAATTGTTGCATGATTATTTTGCTACTCCATTTTATTGTTTAAAATAAGATTAGAGCAATTTTGTGAGATTATATAATACTAAAAGCTCAATCCATTTGTTTACAAGTCGAATGGGATACCAATTGAGCAACATAATTTAATTTTGATAATATAATTATCTATAAATTAATTAAGAATATCTCGAGAATCATGCTATGCATATCTACAATAGAAATTACTTACTTTTTACCAAGAAATTGTATCGATATATTACCAGTATCCATCTATCCAATTTGTATTATTATAATAAAGCAGTGTTTTCTTTATAAAAATGTAAAAAATAATAAATTTATAAATTTGAGTATAATATTAATGAAAAAATTATAATTATATATAATGTAGTAAAGATATTTCAAACATATGACCCAAAAAGTTCCATACTTAATTTTATCTATTTTCTTCAAATCTAAAAGTTAATATATATATATATATATATATATATTTAAAATCATATGGAAGAGCTATAAAGTAAAAAAATATTAAATATAAAAAATAATATTATATTATAAATATAATTAAGTTGTAACACTTACTTATAAAGCAGTAAATAGAAAAGTTATAATTAATTAAATTAAATATAAAATTTTTAAAACTTGTACTAACCAATGTAAACGAGTTGAATCGTTGAATGTTTGTTTATTTGTTGTGCTTATTACTTCGATGTGTGAGTTTTAGGTGATAGACAATAGTTAACTTTTATCATGTAAGTTAGAATTTTTAATTTTTTTAAAAATAAAAAATAAACTTGATTATTATAGTTTTAAATAACTTTTTATTTGTCATTAGTTTTTTTAAGATAATATACAAATATCATAAATAATTAATTTTATTATTTAATATTTAATATGTAAGAAATATAACTCAATTGATAAATTAATAAGTAATTCTTGAGATAAAAGAATGAGTGATTTCTAAAAAATATACATGGACTAAAAAGTTTATGTCTTGGTAGTGAATGAGTCTCAAAATTTTGGAGACATGCAGATAGTTTAAACTCTTATCGAGGAGTTCTTTGATTGGGTTTGTAGATAGTTTAAACCCAGATCAAGGAGTTCTTTATTTGACTTGATTTGTAGATAGTTTATACTCGTATCAAGCAGTCTTGATTTGACTTGATTTCTAGATAATTTGTACTCATATAAAGGAGTTCTTGATTTGGTTTTTATTTTTTAGATAGTTTATATTTGTATCATGGAGTTCTTGATTTGGTTTGATTTCAAGAAAGTTTATACTCATGCTAAAAGAGTTCTTTATTTGATTTAATGACCTTTTATACTCGTATCAAAGAGTCTTAAAATTTGTAAACATTTTATATGTGTCAAAGTGTCTTGATTTTGAAGATAGTTTATGGTCATATCAAGGAGTCTTAGAATTTGATGACATTTTATGCTCGTGTCAAAGAGCCTTCGAATTTGCAGATAGTTTATACTCATATCAAAGAGTCTTAGAATTTGTAGACATTTTATGCTCGTATTAAGGAGCCTACAAATTTTAAGATAATTTATGCTCATATCAAAGAGCCTTAGAATTTGTGAATATTTTATGCTCGTGCCAAGGAACATTCAAATTTGTAGATAAGTTGTGCTCGTATCAAGGAGTCTTTTGATTTATAGATATTTTATTCTCTTATCAAAGAGATCTTTATTTTGTCGACATTTTATGCACACGTCAAGGAGTCTTAAAAGTTTGTAAATATTTTATGCTATTGCCTAGGAGCCTTCAGATTTATATGCATTTGAATCTTTTGTCAAGGATATTTTTATTTTTTAGATATTTTATGCTCATGTCAAGGAACCTTCAAATTAGTAAACATTTTATGGTCTTGCCAAAGAGCCTTCGAATTTATAGATATTTTATTCTATTGTCAAAGAGTTCTTGATTTCTAAGACATTTTATACTTGTGTCAATGGGCCTTAAAATTCGTAGACATTTTATACTCGTATAAGGAGCTACATATTTGACTTGTAGATAGTTTATTCTCTTGTCAAGGAGATCTTTATTTTGTAGACTTTTTATGCTCATGTCAGAGAGCTTTGTAGATAGTTTAAACTCATATCAAGGAGCATTGTAGAAGATTTAGGCTCATATCAAGGAACATCTGAATTTGAGAATTTCAATAGTGTTTCTCATATAGAGGTGCTTTATTGATAGTTTAGTCTCATATCAAGGGGCATTGTAGATAGTTGAGGCTCGTGTCAAGAAGCATTGTAGATAGTTTAGGCTCATACCAAGGAGCATCTGAATTTGAGGACTTGGATAGTTTTTGTTCATATCGAGGAGTTTTATAGATAGTTTAGGCTCGTGTTATAGATAGTTTAAACTCTTATCGAGGAGTGTTGATGATTTGATTTGATGGAAGCGCTTCACATAAATTGCCCCATGGAATTTGATTTGAGAACATGTAGAGTCGCTTTGTTTGCGATTAATTTTTGAAAGGTAGAGATTGTCCCACTGTTCGTGTCAAATTTGTGACAATGAATTTTACTTCGAGTCTCACTGGACGTGCCAAATTTGTAACCACAAATTTTATAAAAAATATAAAAACTTTTGTAAAACTTGATTTTATTTTTATCAAGCAGTATTGCAGGTACAATCTGTATACGAAACCCTCTGATTCTTCTCTTCGTGGACATTGACTTGGATTTTCGAAAATTGATTTAGAATTGAATAACAAGGACTCGAGAGCTTGAAATCTTTTTCTAGGATTAATATTATATTGCTTGAACTTCTATACAAACGTGGACTGAATATCGTTTAGATTCGTTAATGTTCTTAGATTGATTTGAGACGTGAAGAGGATTCACCGCCTCTTTTTCTTCTTGGCCTCCTTCTCCATTGAACGTACTTCGGAGGCTAGGAGACTTCATTTCTGATTGAACGCGGATATTCATCTTAAATGCCCTTGAATCTTCAAGAACGTCTTCAAATCTTCAAAAGAGTTCCTGTGAGCCATTGATCTTGAAACTTTAATTTATAAATAACTTTCCTAATTTTTATAAATATAATTAATAAATAATATTAATTAACCATTCTCTCACATTGCATATGTAGAAATCAACATTTTTATATTTTGTTAATTAATGTCTTTATTTTATTTTTTAGACATAAATTCAAAATAAATACAATATATATTTAATAAAGGACTAATCATAAGGACTAATCATGTCAATCTTAAATACGATATGTCATACAAAAGCATGAAGGACTAATCAACATTTTTTGGACATAAATTCAAAATAAATACGATATGTCAATCTAAGATAAAAAACGAGATTATATCAAATCATGAAAGACTAATCAAATTTATATCAAACTTAGATTGTGGATATGAAATAACTCAACTCGTCATAACCAGTTATAACTCATATCGAATCACGCTCTTAAACCTAGTACCTTATATTCAAGATTTTTTTTTTTTTTTTTCGAAACGGTAGAATATTATAAGCCACAGGACAAAAGAATACGGAGTACAAGCCAAGTTACATGTTTGCAGAATGGGAGATCGCTTAAGCAAGCGAACTAGAGAAGATAAAAAATAAACCAAGCTATAAGACTAAGAAACCGGCAAAGACATGTCCAATGAACTCGGTACTTGTCCTTTATATTCAACATCTCATGATACAATTTATCTACCTTTTCATTCTTCTATACCCACCCACCCAACAAATCATTGATGATATTTAATTAACACATACATAAAATAGCTCCGCCATCACGAATGTGTAACTAGCCATCACCCTTCAAGATCTGCCGAATAAATAAAAAATGGCGGTATAAAAAACGCATTTTAATGCAATTCTAAGTATACTAAGTTCATACAAAAGCAGCAGTCTCACTTTGTCTTGTCTTCATTCGACTCTGCAGTCCAGACGACATCTTTAAGTCCTGATGCGAAGGTCTTATAGAACTTCCGTATATGCAATCACACACATAANAAAAAAAAAAGGAAAAATGAAAAATTCAGTGTTTCCCTTAACAGGTCTCTTGAAATTATGAACAACATGAAAAAGATGTTTAATATCAAAACCTTATGGAATTCCAGGGTGTCACCACCAGTTTTACGTAGCTCCACCATGTGCAGTGAAGGAGCCACCTCGAAAACCTGGTACAAACACAAACCAGTTGATATAAATTTACCCAATACATCCATTGATCATAAATTGTATCCATCTAGAAAATGTACAAGCCACTACAACTGAAGCATGAAATTGTTTCTACATTCGTTCAACGTGCATGGTTTCGTCCGTTGGCCTAATTGCAATTTCAATCCTGTAACTCTTAAGGGTTTCAAATTTCATCTCGTAACTCTTTAACATAATAATTCAAGTCCCTCGAGAGTTTTCCCTAAAAACTTTGCAATTCCACTCCAACAAAATTTTAGGAGTGACTATTTTTAGTCCTGTAGCTTGTGAATGTGTCTAGTTTCTGAATGACTAATGGTATTATGAGTTTTCACTGCTTATTCTGGACTGCAGTAGCACCAAATCCATAGCTCGTAGTACCAGAATAACACAAAAAGAACTTATGACATCTGATAAAATATATACAAATAAAAATAAAAGGCTAGTATTTCCCACCTCTATATTTATTGAACCAAATTTGCTAGCCTCTTATAGACGAGTTAAATTTTTCAACAGACTGAACTGTAAAACAATACCTCTGTGGCTACAGCAAGTTGACCTTTTCTCCCAGTCTTATCTCCTTGTAACTTCATCTGCAAAATTTTACAATAAAAAGGTTAAGATTTACGCACAACTGCAAAACATTTACATAACTGCCAAGGCATTACATAATATTATCCTCCCCATGAGGATATAAAAAAATTATACAAATACCTTATAGTTTCTTTTGTGAACATTAAAACCCATGGGCTTAGCAGCCTCCTCGATTTTCGACATGATCTCGTTCGCAGGGCACTTGGATGTAAAGGATGTTTCCTTCTTTACAGGACCCTGCATAGTTTGAATCCAAGTTTTTTCCTCTAAAAAATAAATAAGAGAGAAAAAAAGTGATGTCTGATGATTTTAACTTGGACACAAGAAGGGCTAAATACCTACCATCTGTTTGTCGAACAGATTTTCAAGGCTAAAACCCTGAGACCTAGAAATAAGCTCAAAGGCATTCATGGACACTGGTTTCTCTTTCCTTTCTGTTACAAGATGTTCCTGCCAAAGATATAATTAAATAAAGTTATACTTGACTTGGTTTTAAGTAAAGTCAGTACACAAATGCAATTGTGTTAAATTTCAACAGCTTACGTCAGAGTCATTAAAGACAGCATCAACATCTTCAAGATTAACACCCTCTTCCTGCTCAAACTGAGGTGGTTTGTAATCTTTCTTGAACCATTCATTTTCCAGAATTTCAGGAATTGTAATTCTCTGCAACATCCAAATACATAGACCAGAATTCCAAAGTTACTGTCCAAACTTAGTATTGCTAAATTTGATTATGGTTTATAAAAGGAAAAGAATATTTGAGAGCTCACAGTAAGAGGATTTGGATCCAGAATACGCTTAATCAGCTTTTTTGCACTGGATGAGAACCACAAAGGAAATGAGAAATCTGCCTTTTGAATCTGAAAAAATATAACAATAATAATATGACATCACATACTCCAAACTCAATTAGAATGGCAAAGCAAGAAATTGTTTTTACCTTTCTATATAAAGCCATGAGGTTGGGTTCATCAAAAGGCAAGTAGCCAGCCATTAGAACAAAAAGAATAACCCCACAAGACCACACATCTGATGCTGTACCATCATAACCTTTATCCGTGAGAACCTGAAAGAAAAAAAAATAAAAAATAAAATTGACATCTCAAATGCTTTAACAATAACATAAAGAAAGAAAAATGTTGGGCCTTCACAATACAAAGAACCATATGTATAGTACCTCAGGAGCTACGTAGTTCGGTGTGCCGCAAGCAGTGTGAAGAAGCCCATCGTCCTATTGAAGAACAATGATGAGAATGCAACTTTAACTTTCGAATGCCCCCGATCAAGCAAAAGTAGTTAAAAGAAGAGAAAAATAAAATGCTGAACAGATTCTTAAACATAATAAGCAGAAATGGGTAAAAAACAATCCGAACACTAAATCAACTACAAAATGAAATAAATAGTTGGTATCCAACATGGAGGCTGGAAGAGAAGTCCTACAATAAGGAACACATAGGAACAGCAATATGTCATCAAAATAAAACTGGGAAATTGACCAGAAGCACATGTCACAGCCCTTCCTCATGGACAAATTTTTCAAGAACTTTTGATGCCCAAAAGCGAGCCATGTTAGACAACTTTAATAACAAGCGTTAAAAAGAACAACCTACCCTGACTTGCTTCGAGAATGCACTCAATCCAAAATCTGAAACTTTAAGGACACCATACGAGTCCAGCAACAGATTCTCTGGCTGCATATGTTATGTTGAGACATATAGAACATTCATTTACAAGAAAAACATACACTAGAAAACTCAAATGCTATCACAAGTGATGCTTCAATTAAGAGATAATACAACTTCTCGCTCGACCTTCAAGTCTCGGTGGTATACGCCTCTACTATGGCAGTAGTCAACAGCATTGATGAGCTGTTGAAAGTATCTCCGAGCAGCATCTTCTTTAAGTTTCCCATATTTAGCCTTTACAAAAAAGATAATTAACAAGATATAGATCATACGAGTATTGCAGCACCAAGAGCAGAAGAACTGAAAATTGTAAAAATAAGAAACTAACAATTTTGTCAAAGAGTTCGCCTCCATCGACGTATTCGAGAACAATGTAGATCTTGGTTTTACTCGCAATTACCTATTATTAAAACAAAGGGATAAGTATGCCTCTCAAAATTTCTAAGACCTTTAAGGTAGTTAAAAATAAAATTAGGACCAGCAGGGCAACATCTCGTTTCAACTGATGAGATGTGCGGCTTAAACTTTGAACTTACACAAATGTGGCAGCCTTCCACTAATCTACTTCAAAATTATTCTTTATTTGAAGATATTAATTAATTTATTTAGTCATAATTATAGGATAACAGCCAAAAGCACAAAAAACTGGTCGACCAGACTATAAACATGTCATATTTGGTACTAATGCTGTTTATGATTTCAGTGGTGCAAGTCGTAATTCTCAATACTTCTCTATGTACAATAGTATCTTATTTATATGTGTAGGTTACTGTAATAAATTTTAAATTATTTACTAATGACTGCATAAATAAATAATTAAGACAAACAAAACAAATAGGAAATAAACCAAATATTTTTGCTATAAATCTATATAATTTGGATAAAAATTATATAATTTTACTCGAATTTCAAGTCGATAGTTGGACGACTGATGACCGAAAGCATAGCTGATATAATTAAAAAATTGTTTGGTTGACTTAGTGGAGAAGGCAGTTTAAACAAAAATCTTGATAGGTTGTTTGGTAACACTCCAAGATAAGAGAATATGACATAAGTTCAAGCTTTTCATAAAAGCTATGTTACGTAATGAGACTTATTTGAATACAAAAAGCTTAAATAAGCTTTCTAAATAACACACCGGTACAAAATAATTTTATTTCAAACTAGTTCCCACATATACTCAGCAATCAGTAAATTCATTAGTCACCTAAGTATTTCTTGGTCACTATCTCTTTTTTCTTTGGAAACTACTACTCTTGGAGAGTGTTTGATAAGATACTTGCTTCAAATGGATAAAAGAAAAAAGAGTGACACATTACAAAAGATGAATTGTACACCATACAAGTTTTTCTGAGAGCTTGTGTGCGTTGAATGCTTTTCTAAGAATAACTGATAGAGTATAAAATAACTGATTGAGACGGACATGAATACAATCGACGGGGGTAAAAAAAAATGTGAGAAGAGAATAGCTTGTTAATAGAAAATTCAATATAAAAGTGGTCAAAATTAAGTGAACGATAGTTGTCAAAACAAGATGTTACTTCGGAAAGAAATTGAAAGTTCTCATCTTTTTTCAGAAAGAACTTATAAGCTCCTATTTAATCTCTTGTATGATAGAAACTTAAACAATACTTTTTTCCCGTGAGCATATTATATTTATGCGTTTAGCTCAGTAAAGCAGGCAAATTATTCTTAATTACTGAAGTAACAAAAATAGTAGTTAAAGTGAGAAAAAATGATACACTACCTCAAATAAACTTAAGACATTCGGATGTTTGATCATCTTCATCGTCGATATCTCCCGTTTTATCTGCAAACAAACACATTACTTTTCAACAACGAAAAATCAATCAAGGCGCAAATCTGCAGTTCTCTGCTCAAGATTCAACTTTCATCAATGGACACACAAGGCAACACTGAAAAGTAGTATCTTGTAGTATATTCAATCAACCAAAAGATTGCTAAAATATATAAAAATAGTCCAATAAACAATCAATTCACATTCCTACGATCTCAAACAAATGGTGCATATTAAACTAATTGGAGACGACCAATAGACTGTTCTATTGAATACAAAAATCTCCCATGAGGATTGTACCTAATTATGCATATTATAATACAGAGAGAGAGAGAGATTATAATCGAACCTGCTCAACCATCTTGTGACGGAGGACTCGATCACGGTCAATGATTTTAATGGCGACATGGTCACCGGTTTGAGTATTAGTCGCAAACTTAACCTTGGCGAAGGTGCCTTCGCCCAGGGTTCTACCCAGCTCATACTTGCCCACGCGAGTCCTCGTACGCGCCGCCGTAGTCCTGCTCATTTCCTTCTTCAATCTCAAATTTATTTTTTTAATTTTACAAAAGATGGCCTTTCAGAAAATCAGAAAGTGCAAATCTACTATTTCTTTAACAATGATTAGGAATCAAATGAGAATGGGAGAAAAGAAANTAAAAAAAAAAAAAAAAAAAAGAGAAGCAGCCCGGTTAATTTTAAAAATTGCTGCTATTTTGGAGATTCAATTGGAGAAAACAAGGTCTGCTCTTCCTGCAAATGGCTGTCAATGAAGGAGAAAGACGACGATGAATGAATAGGAAAGTGAGGTATCCGGTTAAAGTGCACGTCAGCAATTTAATTTGCCTTTCGATCTATACCATTATTTTATTTAATTAATAATTCATTCAATTATTATTTAATTTAAAGGATGGCCGAATTCAGACCAGAATAATCAAACTGGTGCCTCACACACCCCCCTGATAAAACGGTAGGCAGTAGGCCATTTGAGATCATCTCCAGCTACAGACAACAAAAGATGTTGAGGGATAATTCGACAAACCAAGTATAATAATTTAGGAGAAATGATTGGATATAAATAAAGCAGACATATTGATATTTGCGGTTTTACTGTGGAGCCATCAGATGGCTCCATAAACCGAACCATTTGTGGATAACTATGGATGAAACCGAGACTCACGTATTTTTTTTTTTTTTNAAAGAGAGAGACTCACGCATTTCTTTATAAAACTATTTTAAGTCATAATAAACACATATATAATTGAATAAATAGATTAATAAAACTATTTAATTTTCTTTATATTTGATGTGTTTCCCAATATTTTATTAATTTACCTGATTTAGTGTACTTCTAAAACAACAGCCACAAAAAAATTTATAGAGCGAATGTTGGCATGTGAGATGTGAACTTCATCATGTTTAGGCGGAAGTTTCCTGCTCTAATATGACCGGGCCCAACAGATGAGGGTAAGGTATGAATGATTATTGGGCTCAATAATTGATACGGATAAGATAATATTGGTATGGTAAGATAATGACCTCTATCGAGCCGGTGGATTTCTGCCCATTACCATCAACTCAAACCTGTTAACCCGGGTTCATGACCTGAACCGGAGTCAAGTGCACTTTTTCAAGAAATTAACTTAATTCAGGTCTGACTCGAAATTGTTGCACGAAATAGTCATTTTTTATTTCAATTGTTGGACCATACAATCATTGGAAGATCAACTGTGAAGGATCAACCAGCCCGCAAGGTCGATAATTTATTTTATTTTAGTTCTCCTGGAACGAACCAGAATTCTAGATTATAAGTTTATAGCACATACATAATGTGAAATGTGTAGTCATATTCATATATTATGTATGCATAGTAGTGTAATCTATTAGATATATATATTGAAGGAGGTAGTTGGAATAATATAAAATAATATATCTGACTTTGTAATTAAATCACTAAAAAAAATTGTTAGATTTCAACGGAAAATCCTATGGTAATATATTCTAATAAACATTCCAACAGATATTCCAATGGTATAGCTTCCGTTGGAATGATTCCAATGGAAATTCCAACGAAAATGTTCCGTTAGAATGTATTTTTTATTGGAATTTTAGATGGAATTTGATGATTCCAACGGCTTTTGACCGTAGGAATTTCTGTTGGAATTTTTTATTTCCACCACCGTTGGAAAATCTACCGTTGGAATCGTCAAAATCCAACTGAAATTCCAATGGAAAATTCATTCAAATGGAATATTTTTGTAGGAATTTCCGTTGAAATTATTCCAACGGAAATAATAACATTGAAATATCCATTGGAATTGCCGTTGGAATTCTATTGCAATATATTTCTGTTAGAATTTCATCATTTTCTTGTAGTGAACTAGTTGTTGCAAATTCTGCAATTCGGTTAATAGCATGACTTTCTATATAAATAAAATGGTAGGAAATTTAAACATTATTTTGTGCTAATTATCACAATAAAATTCGATTGTTTATATTAATTGGGAATCACTGCAATTTCTTATTCTTTTAGTAACCAACCATATAGCGTGATTTTCTACAACACGTCTTAAAAAAGCGACTATTAAATAGGTTTTGTTTGTAGAAAATATCATTTGAATATGCATGATAAAATAATATAATTACAAAATAAAAAATTAAATCAATTATGTCGACCTTACATGAAAATTATCTGTTTAGAAAAAAATTGTAATATATTTTGTTACAAGTTTTAATGACAACCAACGGATCATCTGTCGAACTATCTATGTAAAATTTTAACATAGAAAATTATTATTAATTATTATGATAAATCAGTCAGTATGAAACTGTCATATAAATTATTAGACTAGAAAGAAAATTTAAATACATATAATATAAAAAATAAAATAAAATAATATTTATGTAATTAATTTTTAAAAAAAATTAAATTCAAACATAATATATATTACAATATTTTTTCAAATAAATTGGTTATAATATCTGCTACAATTTTTTAATTTTAGCAAAACATATTTTAAAATTTAAATTGTGCAATAACGTATGAGTAAGAGAATATAGAGAGAGAAGTATTTTTTTTGTTATTTATTAATAATGTTTAAATTTATTAAGTTGTCATTATCCATAATTCTAAATAGAAACTCTAAAATGACAGCTATTTTATAAACATATAAATCATATGTTAGATTATTATATACCATAAAATAAAAGAAAATAAACATTAACATGGCTTTAATACATACAACTTATAATTATTGTCCCGTGCATCGCATGGGCTACATACTAGTTTTATTATATAAAGTGACAATGATATTTACTTGAAATAGTACTTAAAAATTATTTGGATTTCGGCCCAAAATTTCAGAATTACTAAAATTAGTAATTTTATTTTCAAAAAAATCGAAATATCCTGCCTATTGAAATTTTTGAGAAAAATTAAATTCAAATATTTAAAGAAAACAATCACACACACATTATCTTAACATCCACATAATTATATTACTAACAAACTCTTCATTATGCTTTAGAAAAAAAAATCATGTTTTCCCCTTTTCCTTTTCTCCCAAGCGGTTGTCATTGGTGGCGTCCTCGACAACCAAGCAATCGGCAAAGGCTACTAAGTGTTATGAAGGCGGCTAGCGGCAGGCAAGGAGAAAACGCGAGACCGACATGAAGCCGGCATGAAAGTCCAGTCTTCTACGCGGATTGAAGCCTGTCGTGCAGAGCTCGCTAGGACAGAACGTCTGAAAGTTGCCATGATCGGTGGCGAGTTGAAGGTTATTTTTCGGTCAAGCATGGAGAGGGCGGGCTGAGCGTCGGGGCAGGGGTAGCAAGCAGGGTGCCCGAGCGTCGGGTTGGGTTGCAAGAAAGGAAAGAACAGAAGCAGGACAAATCGAACACCTAAAACGAGCTAGGGCACTGGATGGAAAGGGGGCGTCTATAGGGGTTACCAGATTGCAGCTCTCTATAAGAGGGCGCGCGTGACAAAAGGAGGGGAATGGTTTTTCCCCTTTGTGGACTTTCCCCCCTTCCCCCACTCGCTCGCTTCAGTCGCAGATCAACTTCTTGCCACTGATTTTGTGTTTTTCTAGTTTCTTCTCAATTTTTAACTTTTCGTATAAGCTCGAGAGCGTCTAATATGAGAATATTGGTGATTGTCAGTAGATAACTTCGGCATACGATAGCTACATCCCATGCTTCTCTCATGAAAAATGATTTTTTCGACTGAAAATAGCAGAGTGGAAAAATGTAAAAACAGATACAAGTAGCTAATCTGCGATTAAAATGCGACATACCGCAATTGATCTAACTGTTCACACAATTCTCTGCATATTCATCGTTTGTCTGTCTCATAATTTATCGCATAATATTTACACACATTCTTAATTAACTTTGCTTATCTGTCGCATATTTTATATATTATGAGATCGTACTTCGTTAATTGTTTTCGCCTGTTTGTCGCATAGTTTATCGCATAGTGAGATCTCACTTGCTCGATTATCTTTCCTTGTCTGTGACATAGTATATAGCATAATTATTTTGTATTTGCTCAATTAACTTCGTACGTCTGTTGCATAATGAGATATCACTCACTCTATTATCCATGTCTGTCTTTCGCATAGTTTATTGCATAATTATTTTATACTTTGTCAATTATCTTCGATTGTCTGTCGCATAATATCACATAATTTGTTACACAGTTAGTAAGGTGATAAAGTTAACTTATTAATTAGTGCTGTGAATTTTCATTTTTATTAAAGCAATGGACATTGTTTAATTAATTAACACCTAACATCAAATGACAATTCATAAATCACCACTACTATGTATATCATGTGGGTCCTGATGTTTCCTCAATTAATCGACTTGCTAACTTATTATTGTTATTTAATGCTCTCACGGGACAAAAAAGTAGCATCAAGTTCCATTCAAGTCAAAAGAAACCCCACCTTTTGAGAGATATTTAGGTTGACACATCTCGACATCTCTTAACTGCGAGAACCAATTCAATGCTTCATCTTTCAGGTAATGTTGCACGCTTAGACATTTTTTTTTCTTAATTAGTTAAAGACTGATTTCTTGTATGCATTAATTAGTTGAGAGTTTATTTCTTATAAGCATTATCTTTTT